CATTAGCTTGTCCAGGGCCTCTGAGATCTAAGTGCTTTTTAAACTGACTTCCATCCAGTTCTCCTGAGATAGCTGGTCCTCATTTCCAGAACTCTCCGGTCCTGACACTTACTCCCTGAGCCTTTGCTGGGAGTGCTGTTTTGCAGACAGATCTGTGGTCTCGCGGTGCTGGCTTGGAATTTCACTCTGGGGGATCTGCTTCCAGAGACCTCTGCCCGCCTGTTTCCTAGCACCCAGATGCTGCTGTCCTTCTGCCCAGCTATGTCGACTCGTCAAAACATGCCTGCAGCACTCTTCCCTGGGGCCGGGGTTTCAAACCTCCCATTCTTAACTGGAAGTGTGAATTTAAGTTTTGATTTTCTTATTAATTTAGGAAGTAGGGACTGTGTGTGTTTTACCTTGCTAATATAGATGTCTCCCTCTCTGTTGCGTACACACCCTCAGGCACTATCATTTTGTTCTCAATTTCCAGGTCTTTGCACCACTGTCAATGAATGTGTCTCCACGATTTCATTTTTTGAGAAATATTTTTTGAAAAGATGGAGAACAATGGGTATTGTTTTTCTTTGTTTACAAATCCTTGAAAGCTATGCATTCAGAGCATAAAAGTTCACAGTCGCTCTATTTTCTTGGTAGGTTGTTAGTTATCTTATTTTGAAAATTTTCTCTTTATTCCCTCTTGTTCTTATCCCTTTGAACTCTATTTTTATTTGATTTTGATGTTGCTAAATCTACTTTCTTTTTGCTCAAACTTCTGGCTTATCTTTTTCATTGTTTTGTTTGTAAACCTTTTTGTTTATTGCTCTCTCTTTTTAAAAATGTATTAATTTTTAAAAGAGAGAGAGAGAGATTTGTTGTTCCACTTATTTATGCATTCGTTGGTTGATTCTTGCTTGTGCCCTGACCAGAGATGGAATCGGAAATCTTGGTGTATAGGGATGATGCTCTAACCAGTTAAGCAACCTGGCCAGGACTTGCCGTCTCCTTTCTTTTTTTTTTTTTTTTAATGTTTTATTGATTTTTAGAGAGAGAGGAAGGGAGAGGGGGAGAGAGAGAGAAACATCAATGAGAGAAACATTGACCAGCTGCCTCCCGCATTCACCCCCACCGTGAATTGGGCCCGAAAACCAGGTATGTGCCCCGACTGGGCATTGAACTGGCCACCTCTTGGTGCAGGGGTCAATGCTCAGCCACTGAGCCACCCCGCCAGGCTGCTTTCTCCTTTCTAAAGCCAATGTCCCACTTTCTATCTTTTAAGAGATAGACACATCTGACCTAGTTACATTTATTATGGCAACGGAAATGCTTGCTATCGAAGTTACTTAGTTTTCATTTTCTATTTACCTTTCTCTCTTTTTATCACCCCTCCCCTTTTCTGCCCGTTTGTTGAACTGGTCACATTTAATTTGTTACATTTCCCCCATCTTACAGTTTGGAAGTTGTATTTTTCATGTCTGTTCTATTTCACTTCTATTCAGAGCCAAGAACTCCAGAGTAGAGCGGGGGAGGCCGAGCGCTCGTCGCGAGGCCTCGGACGGGGACGGGCCTGCTGACCGGCGGAGGACACGGCAGGAGTGTGCCTGCCCAGGAGACACTTCGAGCAGAGGCTAAAGCCACTGAGATGAGACAATCGGGAACCCTGTTATTGAAACCAGTCTGTCTGTTGGAAACTGTCAGGCACATGTCCTGGGGGAGCTGGAGGGACAGGACCCGCGTCCAGTTCTATTCTGAAGCCCCTCGGCCCAGTCTTTCCTCCGGGTGTGGAAGCTGCTCTCTCTGCCTCGTCCCTGTGCCCCAGGCTCTCGCCTGCCCCTCCCGCCCGGGCGAGGGGAGGGGAGGGGAGACTCGGGCTCCGGAGAACCGAGCGCGTGCTGAGCGTGGTCCTCATCGCGTGTCATGCTCTGGGCAGCATCAGGGGTGTCTGGACGTCCCTCCTCTGGGCAATTACCTCTGCCGGACAGATGACAGGCGTCTGTCGGGAGGGTGCGCACCACGTGGGCACTTCTGTCGCTATAAACAGTGAGCAGGGCACACTTTGCCAGGATCCAGATATTGAGAATTAGTCCATTACATGCAGTTGATGCAATTAAATGGAAATTTGCAGGCTGCAATGCCAGCAGGCGTGCCAGGTTGAGATCCTACTGTATAAGATAAATGAGTCAAATCCGACTGTGGTCTCCGTGAGCCTGGGACCCTGTGCCGCAGCGAGGAGGTCTGGGGGAGGGTCAGTCCTGAGAGGGCCTGGGAGTGCCAGGCAGGCCCAGAGAGTCCGACGAAGAGCCCCAGGGGCGACACTGGCACCCCTCGAGACGCCGGCTCCTTGCAGGGATGCGATGCCTCTCCGGAGATGAATGCCCAGGTTTAGCCAGGGCTGGGCCTGAGGACGCCTCCTCCGTCCAGGCTGGTGACTGCGGATATCATCACCTCCGTTTTATTAGCTGTTTCCATCAGAAGCCATGGAAATGTGGGAAAGGTGATGGGTGAGGGAGGGGAGGGTCTGGTTCAAGAAATCTGGGAGACAGAAGTTCTAGTGGAGCAGCAGCTGACGGGAGAGAGCATGCGGGGACGTCTGAGGCAGGGCCTGTGGGTGGTCTGGGTGACCTCAGGTGATGGTACCGTGGGCTGGGCCCGGAGACAGAGGGCAGTAGGGGTCACAAGCAGGGCTCTGAGAGGCAGGGGACCTTGAACACTTTGGTTGCAGTTATCAGAGTGATAGGTCACCAACAGGTCAGCCAGGAAAACCAAGACACTGTTGAGGGGCCAAGGCTGATCTTCAACACAAAAAACAGAGGTCAGGAAAAGTGGCAGTGGGCAAGCCAGAGGCGTGGTACCAATCTGGGGGGCAGGCTCGGGGCAGGCTCGGGGCAGGGCAGAGGGGGGACAGTAAAGCCAAGCCAAGGGGCGACCCAGACTCAAGGACCTCATGAGCTAGGATTTGCGCTTGGTAATGCATGTTGGGGGGCCAGAACCAGTCACCCCAAGCAGTGCCTCTGTGCTGTGCTCATTGTTTGGAACCAATGGCAACTTTAGCCTCAGGCTCAGGAGAAACTTCTGCCCACACCCTTAACAACCTAGAAGAACTTGAATTAGGAGCCTGGCCCGTAGGGATCATCAGTGATAACCTTCAGCCCACCTGCGTGGTAGAGAAAACTTTTATTCACTTAACATCTGCTCTTCTTATCACCCTGCAATGACCCTTTGAAGCCCCCAAGGTGCATGACCTCATCCCTGGCTCAGAGTGTCCATGGGCCTCAATCCCCCTCTAGCTCTGAGCCTCTCTTGTATATGGGGTCCCTGTGTATATGTATGTATTGAATTTGGTTACTTCCTCTTACTAATCTGTCTCATGTGTGTTTGATTATTGGACCAGCCAGAAGAACCTTGAGGGTAAAGGAAAGTCTGTGTCTCCCCCATACTTATGCTCTACAATATTATCCTTGGGGATCTCTGTGACACAGGCACTAATGTGTCCATTTCAGCAACTATAAGACCAATGGTAAAAAAATTAAGTGACTTTTCCCAAGGCGTACACGTTTCGACCTCGCTGACTCTGAAGTTCGGGCTGTCTGCCTCTACCTCTCTGGGACTTGCTTTCTTTCCCCGCCGACCCAAGGAGGCTGCACAGGACCAGAGTTTCCCGAACTTTGCTTTGGACCTGCCTCCCTGGTTTCCCCACACCACCCCGTACCACGCTGCGATTCACGCAAAGGCTTCCTCCAGCCGTCTCACGTGTTACACTTTTTATTGTGACAAAATGAACGTAACGTAACTTACCATTTTAACCAGTTTTAAGTAGTTCAGCGGCATTAAGTACTCCATTCACACTGACGTGCAACGCATTTTATTTTTAACGTGGGTATATTTTAGAAAGAAACAGGTGGCATCACCCATGAATGGAAATCAGTATTACTTGCCGTAAACGGAAGTTAACCATTAGAATACCATCTGAAGAAGCAAGCTGTTAACTTGCAGCTAGTTGTTGTTGCGATGGAGGCTCTGCGATGAGGCTACGTCTCCCCCACCCCGGTTCTTTCCAAGGCAGAGCCCCAGGCGTGGGGGAGGGGCTAACAGCAGGCTGGCCCGCGCCCCCTCCTCCCTGGTGTACAGAAGACCTGGAGGGGGGCTGTGATGTGACGCCAGGCTGTGCCCAGGTACCTCCTCGCGTGCCCACCCCGAGCACCCCTCTGCCTCCCAGACCCAGCGCCACGCAGTGGGAACTGCTGAGACGCACAGACTCCCGCCCACCAAGGCTCCGTGACTCCTGGCCCCGGATATAGCATCTCCCTCTCTTTCCACGTTGGAACAGTGACCAGGAGCATCCTTTGAGATGAGTCCTTTACAGTTCCGTCCCCATTTGCCCCAAGAGAAACCTGGGTCTCTCCCGGATGTCCTTTCTCCCTCGGAACCCCGTAACAAGCCCTGGACCCTGAGCCCCGCAAGCTCAGCTGCCTGGGATGCAGCACCTCACCATGGCCCGCGCACGGTCCCACAGTCGCCAGGCCACGCCACGGCGGGGCGAGCGTCTGGCTGCTCTGGCCGGGGGAGCTGAGTGTCATCTGGGCGGAAAGGCGGGGGTGGCGCACCGAGGTAGGGCTTGTGGTGCTGGTGGACCAGCAGACACGAGGGGCATCGCCCAGAGGGCTTCCCGGGAGGGGAGGCTTGTCCGGGTACCCCGTCCCTGAACAATGAAAGGAATGAAACATGTGCGCCTGTGTCTCCTTGGAAACACAACGGGCTCGAAGAAGACAGAAAAGACCCGTTTCTCCAGCTGTGCACAGACACGCTCGGTCCACAGCGTACGAGAACACATTCATCACTGAAGCTGAGGCTGTGTCAGTAACACAGGGGAACATGGGGGTGAGGGCAAACACACTGGGGATCCTCGTGAATTGTCCCTCTGAGCAGTCATGCTTGGGTGCTGCGGGGTGGAGGTCCCGGCATAGCAGACCCTCCCTCAGAGCCCCACGGACACATCGAGGGACAGAACATGTGCTGCTCACCTGGGGCTTGGTCTCATCTTTGTCCTTGTAATAGAACAGCTGGTCCCCGCGCAGCACAAACCAGCGCTGCTGCCAGTTCTTCATGAGGCCCCTCTGCTTCCTCAGCCAGCCCGCCTTCAGCACGGGGCCCGGCCCGCGGGCGCAGGGCAGCTGCCCGGGGCTCCGGCTCTGCTCCCCCATCACCAGGCTTTTGGAGCGGGCTGGAAGCCAAGAACACAGAGTGAGTGGGGAGGGCGCCTGCCTGCTGTCGGTCCTTGCCCCGCCCTGGCATCCCCGCCACCCTGTGACCAGGGCGTGGGAGCTGAGGGCACCAGGCAAGGGTGCGCTTGGCCCATTTCCCCCTCAGCTTCAAAGGGACGTGGGCAGGAGCACCTGGGCAGCAACGCTCCAGGTCCCCTACCTGCGGTCGGTGCACAGCCTGCACGCCGGGTTAGTCTCTGCTATGTCTCTGGGAACCTGTGTCTGTCCCCAGGTTTCTTCATCTCTCCGTACATCTGTCCCATGCATCTATACACCACTGACGTCTCCACCCATGGTCCATATACCCATTTCCCTTTGTTCAATGGCTCAGTCGGCAACGACTCATCGAGTACCTCCCATAGGCCAGTCACTCTCCCAGGTACTGGGGATTAAGCAGCGAAATAAGAGACAACAATTTCTGATCAAGTTGGTGAAGTAGGTCCACACTGTGCCTGCCTCCTCCCACAGCACATCAACACTGTAGCTAAGTGACAGAACAACGACCGTTGAGAACCACCGGAAGACTAGCTAAACCAAGGCTGGAAAGAAGGAGCCACAGCTCTGGCTGGCGTAGCACAGGTGGTTGGAGCACTGTCCTGTGCACCAATAGGTGGCAGGTTCGATTCCTGGTCAGGGCACATACCCAGGTTTCAGGTTTTATCTCTTGCCAGGGCACATGCAGGAGGCAACCAATTTATGTTTCTCTGTCTCTTTCTCCTCTCTCTCTCTAAAAAAAATCAATAAAAGCATGTCCTTGGGTAAGGATTAAAAGAAGAAGAAGCCACATCCAGACTGGTAGGAGGGGCAAAGACATGGAACAGGCAGGTGACTAAGAACTGGGAGGGATAGCTCATCTGCAGAGTTCACCCCTGAGGAGCAAGGGGTCCCAGCCTCACACCAGGCCCCCCAGTCCAGGGCTCAGTGCCAGGAAGAGGATCCCCCATAACATCTGGCTGTACAACCAGGGATGATTACATCTAGGTGAGACTGAGCTGTTGGAGACCTGGCACTACAGGTCTTAAAGGGACCATGCACAGATTCACTCACACACAAACTCACTTTCTCTGAGCTCCAATGTGCGGGCAGCAACTCACAAAGCACCAGGCCAGGCCATACAGGAAGGCACTAAATTGACTGGCTTCAGGTGGGGGGCTGGAGGGCAGAGGTTGAGGTAACTGTCCCCAGAACAGAAGTGCCGGCAGGTGCCATTGTTCCTGTGTTGCGCTCTCCCCTCTGCACTCAGCCAGCAGGCAATGGTGGAAAACAAATCTGAACTCTCGTTAACCTGGTTAACACCATTTGCCCTGCCCTGGTGAGTCCCTGAGACCTGGCCCCATCCAAATCACCTGCTCTGCTCAAGCCTCTTCCAGCGGTTTTTCCTCACAAACAGCTTGCCTTGGCTTGTGCTGTGGACTTTTCTAAAATCTCTCAAAGGTCCACAAAACCCAAACAAACAGTGGTTGGACTTGGCATGCTCTGTAACTCTTGCTAAATTACTCCAAGCCCAGCACAAGGGGCAAGTGCTCTCAACTTGCATTGTAACTCCCATTAGCTTAGCTCCATGTCTGGCATAAGCAGCATCCAGGCTTGGCTTGGAACATTGCCTCAATTAAATGACCACAAACCCGGTGCACATGGCAGCTGGGCCTCAGCTCTCATTGTGATGCCCACCAAAGGGACCAGCCCAACACCAGAGGCAGCCATACTTGGTTCGCAGAATAGCCTCTTCTAAGTGTCTCCAAGACCAGAACAAGTGACAACCATCTGTCGATTATTTGTAGTTCCTCCAGATGTCCCAAAGATGGGCACAAGTGGGGGATAACCTTGACCTGCACTGGGGCCCCTTGCAAGAGGCTCCAGAACCAGCACATCTGGTGACCAGCTTCACTCCACACTGGAGCACCACCCAACCAGCTCCACAAATGACACACTCAAAGGGCAGACTCATGCACTAGAACCCCACTAAAGCAACTCCTGCTTGATGGGGTCAGCCCCCGCACCACAGCTCTTCTACAGTCATGGCCAGTCCTCACAGTCAGTTAGCCTGAGGGTCACTCCCACCCAGTGACACGCCAACAGCAATCAAGACTCAACTCTAGCAGGAGGGCACACACAGTCCACACAAGGGACACTCCTGGAGCACCCAGCTCTGCTGACCAGAAAGACTGTACCACCGGACCCCACAGGACACCTTCTACATATGGCCACTCTGTCAAGACCAGAAATGTAGTAGATCTACCTAATACACAGAAACAACAAAGAGAGTCAGCCAAAATGAGAGGACAAAGAAACATGTTCTAAATGTCCTGAAATAAAAAAAATGTCCTGGACAAAACTCCAGTAAAAGAACTAAACAGAATGAAGACAAGCAATCTACCAGATGCAGAGTTCAAAACGTTGGTTATAAGAATGCTTAATGAACTTAGGGGAAGAGTAGATGAATTCAGTGAGAACTTCAACAAAGAGATAAGAATCATTAAAAAGGAGATAGAAAACATAAAAAAGAGCCAGTCAGAAATAAAGAATACAATAACTAAAATGAATAATACATTAGAGGAAATCAGCATCAAATAAGATGAAACAGAGGATCAAATCAGCAATCTGGAAGACAAGGTAGCAGAAAACACCCAATTTGAACAGAAAAAAAATAAGAAATGAGGATGGTTTAAGGGGCCATTGGGAAAACACCAACATTCACATCATAAGGGTATCAGAAAGAAAAGAGAGAGAGCAAAGGATTGAACACCTATTTGAGAAAATAATGACCAAAAACTTACCTAACCCAGGGAAGAAAATAGACATACAAGTATAGGAAGTGCCAACAAAATGAACCCAAAGAGGATCACGCCAAGATACATCATAATTAAAATGCCACAGTTTAAAGACAAAAAGAGAATCTTTTTTTTTTTTTTTTAATTCTCACCTGAGGATTAAAAAGAAATTTTTTAAATTGATTTTAGAGAGAGAGGAAAGGGGGGAGAGAGAGTGAGAGAGAAACATTGATGTGAGAGAGAAACACTGATTGGTTGCCTTTTGTATGTGCCCCAAACAGAGAGTGAACCTGCAACTGGGGTATGTGCTCTGACCAGGAATCGAACCCATGACCCTTCAGTGAATGGGACAATGCTACAACCAACTGAGCCACACTGGCCAGGGACAAAGAAAGAATCTGAAAAGAAGCAAGAACAAAGCAGTTAGTTATCTACAAGTGAATTCCTATAAGACTGTCAGCTGATTTCTCAACAGAATCTTTATAGGCCAGAAAGAAATGGCACAAAATATTCAAAGTGATGACAGGCAAAGGCCTACAACCAAGATTGCTCTACCCAGAAAGACTGTCATTTAGAGTCGAAGGAGAAATAAAGAGTTTCCCAGACAAGACAATGCTAATTTAGTTCTGAAGGAGTTCATCACCCTCACACCAGCATTATAGGAGATGGTAAAGGGACTTCTTTCTTGTTATGTTTTCTTTGTTTTTGAGAGTATTACAGATCTTCCCCCTAGTGTTGAGAGTATTACAGATGTCCCCCATTTAATTCTCCCATTGCTCTCCTCTACCTGGTTCCCACCCCACCCTAAAGGGACTTCTTTGAAAGAAAAGATCAGAAATATGAATAAGAAAATATAGGAAAAGAAATTCTCACTGACAAAGGCAAACCCTTAGTAAAAGCAGTGGATCAACCAACTATAAAGAAGTACAAAGATTAAAAGACAAAGTAGAAAGATCATTTATAATTTCAACAATAAATTAAGGGATGCACACAAACACACACACACAGAAGAAGTAAAAAGTAATGAAAAAAACATAAAAGTGGAGGAGGTGAGTAATAATTCTAATAATTTTAGAATATGTTCAAACTTAAGTGACCATCCACTTAAAACACATTGCTATAAATATAACTTGATATATATAAAGTGCATGGTAAGCCCAAAACAAAAATCTATAAGAGAAAGGAATCCAACACCACATAATAGAAAGTTGTCAACATACAAGAGAGTAAGAGAATAATAAAGGAATAGAGAACTACAAAACCAATCAGAAAACTTTTAATAAAATGGCAATAACTACATACCTATCAATAATTAGTTTAAATAAACTAAAGGCTCTAATCAAAAGACATAGGGTAGATGAATGGATTTAAAATAAGACCCATAGATATGCTGCCTACATGACACCCATTTTAGATGGAAAGACATACACAAATTTAAGGTAAAAGGACAGAAAAAGATATTTCATGCAATTGAATACAGAAAAGAATGCCACGGTAGCAGTACTTATATCAGACAAAATAGACTTTAAAACAAAGGCTTTAAGAAGAGACAATAAAGGACGTTTCATAATAAGAAAGGGATCAATCCAACAAGAGGATAAACTCTAGTAAACTCACCCAACATAGGAGCACCTAAATATATAAAACAAGTCTTAATGGACATAAAAGAAGAAAGCAATAGTAATAAAGTCATAGTAGGGGATTTTAACAACCCAAGAAATCAATAGATAGATCATCCAGACAAAAAATCATCAAGTAAGCAGTGACCTTAAATGACAATTAGACTAGACGGTCTTTTAATTGATATTTTTAGGACTTTTCACCCAAAGGCAGTAGCATATACATTTTTTTTAAGTGCACATGGAACATGTGCCAGGGTAGACCACATGTTAGGCCACAAAACAAGTTGCAATAAATTCAAGAAGATTGAAATTGTATCAAAAATCTTCTCTCATCAAAATAATATGAAACTAAACATCATTTACAAGAAGAAAATTTAAAAACACACAAACACATGGAGGCTAAATAACGTGCTCCTAATAATGAATGGGTTAATGATAAGATCAAGGAAGGAATAAAAAGCCAAGTGAAAAATTAAAACACAATGACCCATAATCTACGAGACACAGCCAAAGCAGTTCTAAGAGGAAAATTTATACCAATACAGGCCTATTTTAAGAGTCAAGAAA